CACGCCTTTAATCCCAGCACTCGGGAGGCAGAGGCAGGTGGATTTCTGAGTTCGAGGCCAGCCTGGTCTACAGAGTGAGTTCCAGACAGCCAAGGCTACACAGAGAAACCCTGTCTTGAAAAACAAAACAAAACAAAAACAAACAAACAAACAGAATGGCTCCTGCATGGAAGCTAGTTTGGCTAGCTCACTGGACATGCCCTGGCTCTTGCCTTGCACGGCTATGGCGTCTATTAACAGGAAGGCCATTACTAGACGTGGCCTTTCAGTCTTTGGCCGGAACTGTTAGACAAAATAAGCCCACTTTTTTTGTTTTTTTTTGTTTTGTTGTTGTTGTTTTGTTTTTTTTTTTTTGTTTTTCAAGACAGGGTTTCTCTGTATAGCCCTGGCTGTCCTGGAACTCACTCTGTAGACCAGGCTGGCCTCGAACTCAGAAATCCGCCTGTCTCTGCCTCCCAAGTGCTGGGATTAAAGGCGTGCGCCACCACCGACCGGCTTTTTTTTTTTTTTTTTTTTTTTTTTTTTACATTGTGTGTTCCTATGTTTATTTCAAACTAAGCTTCTGTTAAAGCAAATGGAAATGTACTGAGTTCGTGGTATTATGTTGTCAGCAGCAGAACCTGGACACTGGATGATGTTTACGTGTCACTGTCTCCTACAGGCACGTTCCATGATGACAGAAATCTTTCTGTTTCTCCCTTTGCTGTGTCTTCGGAGTCTCACTCAGCGCCCAGATCATGGTGCTCAATGCCCATTTGCTGTATCTGTGGACGAATGTGATGAACAGAGAGTGAAATTTCCAGAAGGCCATGGGACAGTCTACATACAAATGTATAGGCCTAGTTAGCAACCTGTAAGAGAGTGTGTGTCTGTGTGACTAGAACCTTCAAAGAAAGAATCTGTGAAGGGAGGGATAACTATAAAACCATCTAATGACTAAATATAGGCCCATATGTCTATAACTCCAATACTTAAGCAATCGAGGCAAAAGGATCATGAGTTCTAGGCCAGCCTGTGCTATGCTGGTAGACTCCATCTCAAAAAAAATTGAAAAGATGTTTCTGACTATATCTTTGACTCTGAATTCCATGAAATTTTCTAGTTATTTTCAGACAGCAATTGATGTTTGCCACTTTAGCTTTCATTTTAGTAATTAAGATGACTTAATGAAATGGAGATCTTCTGTTTGCTTTTTTGAAAGAGGGTCACACATATCTCAGATTGCTCTTGGACGCATTATACAGTGAAGAATGGCCTTTAACTTCTAATCTTCTTGCCTTTGCTTCCTATGTCTTGGTATTATGGGTGTACTACACAGCCTGGATTAATTTTTTATTTATTGCTTTTATTATTGTTATGTGTAAGTGTTTGGCTTGTATGTACATCCTTGTGCTACTGTGCATGGCTAGTGGTGTTATATGTCATGAGCCACCACGTGGGTACTGGGAATCAAACACAGGTCTTTTGCAAGAGCAGCAAGTGTTCTGACCGCTGAACCAGCCCTTTAATTTTTAAAATTCAAAATGTGTGCTTTTCCTTGTTCCTAAGCTCTGCTGGATTGTAGGTGGTGGTCATGTTCAGTGGGAAGACACAGTAGAGCTCTCTCAGTGGATGCCTATGTTGACACACTTTTCTCTCTTCCCAGAGTCTGAGCAGGACATTGGGGAAATGAGGAAAAGAACATTCTTACCTGATGTATGCTGTCACAAAGTGCTTCTAGACCCCAGCAAATATCTACACGTAGCTTTTCCTCAAGGGATCCAGAAGATAGAGGAGGAGAGATTGCCATGATAGGGAAGAAGAAAAACCAGACCTAAAGGCCTGCTGACATGTGAGAATCAGAGAAAATGGCCACATGGGCCACTTCCCCAATTGGGTCTGGGGTAGCAGAGATGAAATATAGATTCTAAAAGATGTTAACTCAGGAGTACTAGAGGGGAATGTTTGCTAGCAGCAGAAAGGATTAGAGATGCCCAGCCATTAAGCTGGTGACAGCATATTAAAATTAACTGGTGTGTGTATGTGTGTGTGTGTGTGTCTTTCATTCTTGAATCCAGATAGCTCTTGGGAGAGTGCATGGGTGCGACCCATTGGGAGCACAGAGTGGTTAGCTAAATTCACCAATACAGTGTGTCCTTTGTCGTGTTACCTGCATGGTCTTTGGGTAATGCTTTGCTCTGGACATCCATGGGAGCACAGAGCTAACCTTTTCTTGCTTTCTAGAAGACTTTCTAGTCATAAGCAGGATATCCATATTGTTTGTTCCCTAATCACATCTATCAGTTGATTCAACACTCTTCCCAAGTATTTCCTCATATCCTTCTCAACTTGGACTGAACTGAGGACTAATTTAAAGCCCACTAACTGTTCCCCCCGCAGATCTGCCATTTCTATCCCTTTCCTCAAAGTACACAGGGCAATGACGAGTCGTGAACTTGTTTTGCACATACTCCTGAATGTGATACTTAAGGTCTGGCTCCTCTTTAGAGAGTAAGACTTGAAGAGTCATGCCAAGATGCATATAAAGTACCAAGAGGGAGTGCTGACCACTCAGGAGCCCTGAGGATAACACTGGTCCAAACTCTACTTTTACAGATGTCTTCTGTGGGAGATCATGAGTAACCATGTGACACAAAAGAGGTCCCGAGGGCACTAAAGAATGACTGGAAACTGCCTACACAAGGACGAGCTTCATTTTGAAAAGAAAAGGCAAGAATCAAGTTTAGGAAAAGTCGACAGTGGAAAACATGAAGTGTTTGGCTTCTGTTGGATGGTGAGAATCATAGTGCATAAAACAAGCCTCCACAAGACCAGCATGCAGCCCTTCCCCGGGTGGTCATTCATGGCCTAGGGAAAAAGCCAAAGAAGCAAGCCATTATTAAAATGGGTCTATAAGCCCATTTTAAGGGTTTAAACTGGGAAAAGTTCTCCAACATAGCGAAGAGTCACCCCAAAGAACAGGAGATGGTGTTGCCAGTGAAGGTAAAGCGAGCAACCCAAACAGAGCAGGTATTAGCTAGACAAAGGGAGGATGGGCTTGTGGTGGTTTTTCCTACTCATGGGAGAGCTTTGACATGTCTGTTCAAAGCTGTCCTGAGCTATAGATTAGGGTCCAGGTCAGCTCGGGTTAGAATGAGAGCCTACCTCAAACAAACAAACAAAAACAAACAAACAGGTCTGGGGAGGTGGCTCAGTTGGTAACGTGCTTACCTGACTTCCATGCCAGAACCCATGCAGAAGTTCCAGCCATAGCTGTAAGTGACGGTGCATGCTTGGGATGCCAGCCTCAGGCCATTGGAGACATGCTGAAACCTGGGGCTGGCGGGCTAGTCAGCCGACTAAGCCGAGCTTAATTGGGGAGCATCAGGCCAATAAAAGGTTGCAAAGGAGGTGGACAGCATTGCTAAGAGTGATGGCACCTGTGGCTGTCCTCAGCCTCCACATGCAAGGGTGCACATTGCATGCACACTTCTCCACAGGCATCCATCCACACATTAAAATCTACACAGGCAGAGCAGCAGCCTTCAGTCATTCTGCCATTCACCCATTCATCCAACAGATGTCTAACAGGAAGTAAACCATGTTTCCAGTGTCTTCTGAGAAGTGCCACAGACAGAGGCATAGACAGAAACAAGACAGGTATATATTCACACCAAGAAATTAGGGCAAGTGCCAAAAAAATTAACATTAAAGCTGGGCTGGGGGGGGCGGTCACTGGAGAGATGGCTCAGCAGTTAAGAGGACTGACTGCTCTTCCAGAGGTCCTGAGTTCAAATCCCAGCAACCACATGGTGGCTCACAACCATCCATAATGAGATCTGATGCCCTCTCATGGGGTGTCCAGTGTACTTACATATAATAAATAAATAAAAACCTTTAAAGAAAAAGAAAAAAAAAGCTGGGCTGGGAACATGCTTATAATACCAGCACTTGGAGGGCAAGAACACGAGCTGAAGGCCAGACTAGGCTAGTCAGTTCTAGGCCAGCCTGTGAGTCCCATGGTCAGGTGAAGTCATGTGGTGGACAACTCAGTGACATCTAGTAAACTAACAGATTATAAATCTAGCTCTACTGAGTCCGAGTTTGTAAGGACAAGTGCTAAGGTCACTAGGTAACAAAGAGGGTGGGAAAAGCATTTGAGGACATGAACACCATGTTCGTGATGCCATGGAAGCCAGCAATTTCATGACAGGCAAAGGCAGATGGAGGAGGGAGTGAAGACAAGGCTGGAGGACACCAACAACAGGGTACAGGCTTAAACTTGTGTAGAGAGCTAAGCCGGGGATACACATGGACAGATTCTCCTTTCAGGAAGATGGATCTGGAAATAGTAATGTGGATGCTTTAGATGAAGAAGAATCAGAGAAACAGGGGTGTGCGTGTGCGTGTGTGTGCGTGTGTGTGTGTGTGTGTGTGTGTGTGTGTGATAAGAGGTGGTATAATTCTGAGCAAAGGTAATAATAGCATTGTAACAGGAAGGAACAGAAACCTAGACATAAGGATGAAGATTTTTCTATGCCCTGATAGTGACTGAGTGTCTGACTAAAAGAAAAAGCAGAGGATGACTGCAACTGCTCCCCGGCCTTGGGCGACAGGGTGCCAGTGATGGTGTCCTGGCATTGGCTGGGGTGGGGAGGGAATGGTCAGTTTAAATTGGGCATGCTGAGTTTCCATTTTGACTAAGTAAAGGGCCTCAGATTCAGTTCACTAATATGTGAGGAGAGGTGGGGACTACAGAGCTGAGAAGTGCCTTTCTGTTGGTGTGGGAAGTCACGAGCTTACTTAAGATACACAGAAAACTTAAAACCTAGGGTTGAAGTCTCAGGACACATGTTGAAGGTATGTGAACAGGATAGAACTATGAACTTAAAATGTGTGGTCAGACTAAGGCCAACGCTGATGTTAGGAACAGAAATGTAGAGTGGGGCTGACAGGAGAGGGAAGGAATGGGGGATACATAGGATGTGCTTATACTGGTAACACTTGACCATACAAATGTCTTCACTTCAAAACGAGCAATTTATTTCTCCATTTATCTTTCCACAAACTTGTTAGAAACAGTTTTTCAAGTACATACAAAGTATATATTATTACTTCTCAAAATAATTTTATAGAAGACAAACACTCAGCAGCAATGGTTTACATCCCCTTAAGAAATTATTGTTTTTAATCCCCTGCATCTCTTACTTCTAATGCTTGAATAAGTACCAGTTCTTAGATCAGAGGGATCAGAGGGCAGGAAGGCGAAACTTTGAGCTGTCCTATCTGGGCAGGACCAGCCTTCATTTTCTTTCCTTTCTTCTTTTTCTTCTTCTTCTTTTTTCCCTATTTGGTCCAGAAACTCTCATTCAGCTTCTTAAGACCAACTCTTCATAGCTACTCTTTTCTTCGCTACACAGGGCCAACAAAATACTCACCCTGGCACCCTGAATATTTCAGGTAAGTCTGAGAATAGTGTCTGGGTGGGAACATGGTCACCTGGGGTCTGGGAAGGGTTACAGTTGCTCTGTGTATAGCAGAGACGGGGCCCAGACTAAGATTCTTAGGCCCTAGCTTCCTCCTCCTTTCTCATCTCTTTTCGTGGCTTCTGCATGTGCTTGTCTGGGTTAAGAACTGGAGGGAATGCTGGGAGGCTTGGACTTGCCTGTTGGTGAAATGCTGCAGCCCTGGCTGAGGGGCTGTTACCTCTTTCTTATCTTTCCTGGGTACAGCTTTCTGGGAAATGGAGAAGCTGAAGCCCTGGTCTCAGAGGGGCCCTAATCCCTTTTTCACTAAGTTGCATAAACAGAAGGGATGAAGAGCAATGGCTGACTGAGGGAGGTTTCCCTAAGGGCATCTACTTTTTACTTCTTACAGTGTTTTTTGCCAAGGCACTGGATTTCTGCGTTTTGCCAGATGTGATGAGGGCCCCGAAGCCTTGTTTGTGGGAGAACGCGTAGGCAGAACGTCGTTTGCTTGAGTGTTTTTTTTTGGTCTGGACTTGGGGTGGCATCGGATGTTTCAAGCAAAAATGGATCCTGTTCAGAACCTATATCCAGAACATGGGGGACAAGGTTTTCAGACATGGAGGCCAAGTCAAAGGGGATGGTGAGGTCCACCTGTGTAGGGTCCTTTCTCCCACTCACCTTGTCAACGTTGATGGGCCAGAGTAGTGGTCTGAGAAACTTGTATCCAATCAAAGGAACCATACAGAGGACCGTGCTGAGGATGAGACACAGCCACATCTGTGGCTGGCTAAGACTGTTCCTGGCCACACCTGTGGGCAGTCAACCAAGAAAGAAGAGGCTAAAATAGCTTGGGGAAGGAGGTAGGGCTGGAGAGGGAGAACTCAGCCAGCACACAGCTACATTCCAGTCCTCAGAAGGAAGTTACTGATCTGCAGTCCGTCTAGTCTCCTGAGAAGTACTTTCAATGCTAAGTCGCTATACCTTTTGCACTTTTCACAGCTACTCAGCAGTAGCTGGTTCCTCTCTGATAGGAAGCTGCTGTGAGCTGGAACAATTCATGCACCCTTGTCGCCCCCTAAAGGCAGGGCTGAACAGAGCAGGGAAGAGAGAGGGCAGGTTATAAGGGCACCCTAGTGCACTTGTGAAGAAAACAAGTAGAAAGCACCGTGGCCTGCAAGACAGCTCAGAGGGTAGCATGCCACCACACCTGGTGACCTGAGTTCCAACACGGGGATCCACATAGTACAAGGTGAGAACCAACTCCTTCAAGTTGTTATTTCCATCTGCCTGTCTGTGTCTGTCTGTCTGTCTGTCACCCACAATAAATAAATAATTATATAATAAATGAATGTGATAATACTAAAAAAAAAAATGAAGCCTTTGGAGAAAAAAATGAGTTATAGGCCTGGCAGGGATAGGAACCGAGCACACATGCACAGCTATTCTGTTTGATCCAGTTTGATGGTAGGCGAGGGAGAGCCAAGTAAGAGACAGTCAGGCAGGGCGTGTCACTGGAAAGGGGTTTGCACTGGGGTTCCAGGTCATTTGTTTGAATAAACAAACAAACAAGGCTGGAGAGATGGCCCAGCGGTTAAAAGCACTGGCTGCTCTTCCGCAGGACTTGGGTTCATTTCCACCCCGGACGTGGCAGCTCACAGCTGGAGCCCTGGTTTCTAAAGGGCCCTAATCTCTTTGTACTAAGTTGTGTAGATGGACTGCATGAAGAGCAGTGGGTGACTGGACCTCCAGTCCCAGGGGATCTGGCACCTCACACGGACAAAACATGACAAAACATGAGCCAGAGTGCATAATTCTTGCCCTGTCACATGTGAAAGTCAAATAATCTAAAATACTTGAAAAAAAATTGTAAATTCTAAAGTTAAATATTTTCCTGGAGAGGTTTTGCTCCCATTGTGAGCAGAGACTACCTCTTCTCACACCTCTAAGCATCGTAATAGAGCTTCTCAGTAAACATTCAATTAGCATTCCATTAGCCCTCCCGATGACAAACACTGGCTGGCCAAGTCTTACCGAGGAAGCTGAAGATGCTGGGGAACATCAAACACAGGCCATCACTACACAATAGGAGTAAGATGCAGAAGTAAAGCCCCAGGCTACCCCACGTGAAGGCATGGTTTATCATCGTCCAGGAGGTTGTCCTCAGGGCAATCTGAAAAGCACTAGTTCATGTGTGATACCGTATGACCTGTCAGCACCCCCATTCTCTGAGCCTGCAGCGGAAGGTGTTTCCTGTCAATGACCCCCCAGTACTCCCCCCCCCCCGCCTCCCTTTCTTGCCACACAGGCTCCCCACCCAGTCCCCTGGTCCCACTTCGAGGGGCCACACCTGCATTGTCATGACCCAGATCAGGGTGGTCTGCACTATCAGGGAGAAGGACTGGAAGTCGGAGATGTCCTTTCCATCTCTACGCTCTGAGTTGAAGACAGTCCCCATAGGGACAAAGAACAGCACGAAGGAATTGTAGATACCATGCAGCAAACACTTCATAAATTCCTTCTTGTTGAAGTACAGGTTGTGCTGTCCTGGCTCATACAGCTCTGGGTAACACAGACTCCATGTTTCATTCACATCCTAGAAACACCACAGGGGAAAGAGGAAGGTCAGGGCCTTCCACAGGTCCCACCTCCATCGTGCCTCACTGAGTCTGTGGCCAGAATGCCTGGGCATTTCCTCAGAAACAGAACCAGAGAGCAGAGCAGTGTCCACAGTCCCCTCTCTGTGAGGCTCTGCAGTAGAAGAAAGCTGTGAGATGGTCTCAAAGATGGGGGCACATGGAGGCAGTGAGGATTTGGGAAAGGCATGGGGGAGATATGGCTCAGGGGCAGCTAGAAGGGAGTGCTGAGCTTGGAAAAGGGGAGGAAGTAGGGCTTAAATCCCAAGAAATAAGTGTTCCTTTGGTTAAATGCTTTGTGTCAAAAGCCAGTGGGCAGAGGCAGGAAAATACATTAGGATTGGCAAATCCTCATTTAGTGTATTCCTCTTTGGGGACTTTTTTCTACTGAGGTGCCCAGAAATGGAGCTTGGTAGAAGAGTCAGGGAAAGAGGTATCATGACTCTTACTACAGAGGTGATTTCTAAGAATAACAGACATGGAGCCCTGGGCTGCTTTCCTGTGTCCTAAGGTACTATGCCCACAGCCCCATGCCTGGCCTTTACACCCACTGAGGTCTTTCCAGCATCTGTCTCCGCCCTATTACCTGTGAATAGGCCTCTCCTCCCCCCCCCCCGGGTTTTTTGTTGTTTGGTTTTTCGAGACAGGGTTTCTCTGTGTAGTCCTGGCTGTCCTGGAACTCACTCTGTAGACCAGGCTGGCCTCCAACTCAGAAATCTGCCTGCCTCTGCCTCCCAAGTGCTGGGATTAAAGGTGTGCGCCACCACTGCCTGGCTACTCCTTTCTCAGTTTCTTGCTTTACCAAGTCTTGGCTCAGTGTGTTCCTCTCACTAATTTTTAGAGGACACCCCACTCTCCCTTACGATACTACCCAGGTAGTATCGAGACCTCCCCCTGCTCGGAAATGACTGACTTCTTCCCCGCTCTCTGAGTTCAGGGCTTCAGCCCTGTCTGTGAAGTCTGCCCCTGGGTCTTACCTTTTCAAACAGACTCAAGCCCAGGACAGGGAGGGAGGTGTAGATGAGATTGTAGAAGGTGATGAACCAGATGTCATAAACTGTCTGGAAGAGTATCAAGGAGATTTTTTAGATTACTTTCTCCATGAAGCCCCAGCTCTGCCTCTCAGGTCCAATGCAGCCCTCTCCTGGTCCCCTACCCACTACTAGTTGGTTACCACCTACTAATCTAAAGTGTGTTTGATTACTTTCTAGAAATGTAATGCAGAGTCCCAGTCTTTCTTCAATCTTACTCCAGAACTCAGAGGGGCAAGGCTAGGCTGGGCTTCCAAGACTGACCTACAACAACCCTCTACAACCTGCACAGTCCCTCTAGGTACAGAAAGGACACAGAGCAGCTCCCAGGGAGAGCTAGCCACAGTACCTCTGGAAAAACCTTGAGGTTCTTCTCTTTCTCTGCTTGGTGGCATCCAGTGGCTTCTGAAACCCTGGATGTTTACTAACAGGGCAAGGAGAAAGATGCAATGACTCTTCTCCAGCTTGGTGCCTCACCCTAGGGTCTAGTGAGGTTCCTTTCCTTACTATCCACAGGCTCATACCACTCCCCAAGACCAGCTTGGCCTGAGTAGGATTTGGGGTGTATCAGTCTACGAAGTCTGCTGGTTGGTGGAGGCATCTCCCAGGATAGTAAATCCTCAGGTTTTTCTCCTGGGATTCCTTGAAAGACTCCTCAAATACTTCTTACAGGAAGAAGAGATCTTCTATAACATCAAACCCTACATTTCCTCTAGGTTGTGACTTCATAGTCAAATGTGAAATGCATTTATCATAGGAACAATTCTGTATGTGTTGGGGCAGACCTGGTGTCTATAGTTCCAAGTATAGGTGAATATCATGACAGCCTGCCTGTCATGGTCCAAGAGGCTCCTGGAGGCTTACCTAGGCTCATCCCAGGCTGTATGGATGATGTATATGGAACATTGTCATTATTCATCTATAGACCCAAAACTATAACCATTTTAAAAGACCATGGGAGCATGTAGAATGTAACTATCATAGCTTTATGATTCTGATGATTTAAAAGTAAAGATGGATCTCCCAAATTATAATCACAAAATTAAAATCAGTATTTAAAAGTGGTGAAGTCTAGTTCCTAAGGACCTGAAACTCTCTTCTGGCCTTCGAGGATACCAGGCATGCACATGGTACATATACATGCATACAGGTACATACTTATACATACACAATAAAATAAGTAAGTCTAAAAGTTATATAAGTGGAGAATTACTAAGACATTGTAGACAACAATAACAACAGTAACAGTATGACTTTGGATGCTCAGAGAACCTCCAGCTCCCCTGGCTTTTCCTAATTATGTACGTTGAAAACAATGTCAGCTCATGGGAGTGTTCCTAAGGTAGCAGTCAGTAACAGAACCTTTATGACCTGGAATGTAAGGTTAATGTAGGTTTGGGATTCATGCAGGGTGAAGAGATGGATGGCAACACTTTATACTCTAGTTTCTAGAGAAGAACTATGAATGTCTGGCTAGCTAGAATGGAGATTCCCACCTAGTCTCTTACCTGTGCAGAGAAGCCATTGAAGAAGGCGTACCAGAAGTGCACCAGGGTAAAGGCAAAGTTTTTGTAAAAGAAGTAGCTGAGAAACTTGCACATGCGATTATAAGACCAGCGGCCATGCACCAAGAGTAGGCGCTGAAGATAGTGGAACTGGCAGAAGGAGAAGTCACTGCTGAGCGTGGCCTGCATCCCCTCATGGCCGCTGATGCCAACCCCGATATGGGCAGCTGAAATGAAAGCCCAGACACTTCTAAGACATGAAGGGTTTGCTGGGTTCTTACGCTGGGAAGTGCGAAGGGAACATGGAGATGAGGCTGTACAAACCTTTTGCTTTACATTTGGCAAACACTGCTATGTCCAGTTAGAACTGCACCTTCTTAGTGGGCTCCGTGTGGCTGATGGCTTTCCCTACACCATGGGAGTCAGCCTCTTTGTTTTGGATTCTGTCATGTAGACGGCTTGGTACTGTACGGCCAGTGCCAGAAGGCATCCCTTTGCCCTGATGCTAGCCACTTGGACTCATTCTTACTGTTTAAATAACTGTGATTTAAATTCCTTGTTATCAACAGAAGCTACTTAAATAAATTAAGAATCCAGGATGACTGCTGATCTAACACAATATTTAATTACTCACTTTTATCTCGGGGGCAAAAAGCCAGCTGATCAGAGACAGGCAGTGTATATACTTTGCTAGTGAGAAAGAAACTTGCTGGATAAAGCAAGATTGTATATGACAGAATATAAGACTGAATTTCCCAAAAGTTTTAATTACTTTGTGGCAACTCACTCTGGTTCTCATGTTCACTGATTTTTCTCCAGTACATCTACATTACTGATTAACAGGATTAACTGAGTTTTCCTTTCCTTTTTTTCTTTGCCTGAGACAGGGTTTTTCTGTGTAGCTCTGGCTGTTCTGAAACTCACTTGGTAGAGCAGGCTGTCCCTGAACTCTAGAGATCCACCTGCCTCTGCCTCCTGAGTGCTGGGATTAAAGGTGTGTCCCACAGTGCCCTGCTAGGATAACTGAAATTTCTAAAGCCTTAAAGACTGAACTATAACCCTTTCTAGAGTTGAAACCGAGGCTGGGCTATCTGGTGCTGTTTCCTGCATGGTGAGACTTTGTTCATACCTCACCCATCAACACATTTCTGGGACATGCACTTGAAATTTAAGACAGAAAGGTTTAGCTATTTGCTTTTACTGATATGAGTTTCAGTAAATCACTGCCTCTTCTCCAGCTAGGGGAGTGGTGTGGTAGCTGCACAGCTGGCTGTGAGGTGAGGGTCTGCCTGGGCTCCCGAGGGCCATGCACATCTGTATGCACTTACCTTCCTTGTGTAAGTGAGTGAATCTCACTTGTGCATGCCTATGGATGTCGATGTGAGTGAGAGTCTGGTGTGAAGGAGTTGAAACAATACATGCACACTTCCTACGACAGTAGAGTGTGAGTCAGTGCCACAGGACATTCAGGTCAGTTTGCCCATGGAGGAAGGAAGGGGATAAGCCATGGATGGGGACTACTGACCACCTCCCGTCACATGCCTTTGATCATGCCGATGTCATTGGCCCCATCCCCGATGGCCAGTGTCACCACCTTCTTGTACCTCTTCACCAGGTTTACCACTTGGGCCTTCTGAAGGGGTGTCATCCGGCAGCAGACCACCCCCTTGCACATGCATGCTGTTCGCAGCAGCTCGAACTCCATGTTCCTTTCTAGAGCACAGGCCTGTAGCACCAGGACACACTTACTTAATGTGTTACCCCACAGTCTCTCTGGGTCAGACCTTCCCTTTGTCCTCTCCTGTCTTTTCTAGGGCAAGCCTGTTGCTCACAAGGTGCTCTAACCGCAAGGGGCCCACCTCTTGAGTTAGTTCTAGGTACCCTCACATCTGGCTCAGCCTCCAGTGGGAAATTCTCATTGGGTTAGTGGGCCATTAGGCCAACTTCTGAAGGGTCTTGTTCTCCTTACTTGTCCCTTTCCCCTGAACAGCAAGCCATGTTAGTGTAGAAAGACTACAATAAAGAATAAAGAAGGAATTTTCTTGGCTTCTCTTTCTTATATTCCTGCCTATAATAGCCTGGGGAAAAATGTCTTTCAGGTAAGGGACCCCAGGGAAGGGGAGTAGGGTCACCCATAAAATAAGGAAGGAATAAAATTTTCCTGAATTGGGTTGGATCTAGGGATAGCGTGATTTGGATAAGGAAACAGTGAGGCTCTGTGTTGCCCACCAGACTGTAGCCACTGATGACCAAGCCGTAGCTGCCGTTGGGCACCTCGTCAAGCACTTTGAAAGGCATTTTGGGCTTCCTGGCCAGGTAAATGTTTATGGGATCGGATTCCAGCAGAGACTCAGGTTTCATCTTCTTCCTTGCTGTCCTGGAAGCCAAACCAGCATGGTCAGGGTCTCATCTGAAGCTCTACAGCTCATGAAGAAAAGAAACATACCAAGGGAAGAGTGGACAGGGAGTGTCCTAGGCTCTAACAGCAGCCGACTCCCAAGGCCTCTACTGCCATGTGTTACTACTAGCTGGCTGTGCTTAGATTTCTCCGCCCACACTCTAAGTCCTTTAGGCCAAATGCTTCTTTATAAAATTATCTCAACGATTTTGGGTGTTTTGTTTGTCCCCTTTGCCATTTCTTCTCTGTATCTTCTGTGGAGGGGCCCCATATGGGGAAAGACGAAAACGTGGGTCCAGACTGCAGCTGATTTTCCATGTGTACCTGAGTTCTTGTAGAACAGTTTCGCTATCTTTGCCTTCCACCATGAACACCCCATCCATTTCATCTTTGAATATCCTACAGGAGTAGGCGATGTTCACAGCAGTCTCTACGGAGAAGGGAATATGGGTCTCATTTTGACTGGCACTTACCAGGGAAGTTACTTGGGCAAGAATAGCAGACTCAGAGCTACTTGTCCATGTTTGCCTTGGATACAGTTAAAATGCAGGGTTTTTTTTCATGAACCAGAGTAAACTGTAGTCAAACATTAACAGGTGAGTGTCTACTTGGCTTTGCCTTAGCAGTTATTTATGAAGAGTGGAGGGGTTGCTCAGGCTTAGTCTTCTCTAAAAAACCTCTTTGTGAGTGTGTTATGAGTGTGCCATAGCACACGTGTGGAGGGCAGAGGACAGTGTGGTGTGCCATAGCACACACATGGAGGGCAGAGGACAGTGTAGTGTGCCATAGCACACGTGTGGAGGGCAGAGGACAGTGTGGTGTGCCATAGCACATGTGTGGAGGGCAGAGGACAACTTGCAGGAGTCTGTACTCTTCTTCTACTCTGTGCAGCCCAGGTAGTGATGCCAGGTCGTCCCAGTCTTGGTGGCAGGCACCCTCACGCTCTGGGTTATCTTGCTTGCTTGTGGATGTGTTTTTTTGTACAGTACTCTTCCTACTTCTATACTATATTTTATGAGAATAGAGACATGCTCAAGTTATATCATTTCTTTAAATTAAGAAATCTGGAATTTGGAATAAATTAATATGCTAAAGAAAAAAAAATAATGTCCAAATCCTGGCTACAAATGTGATGAGAATGCAGAAAAGAAATCTCCAAAATTTCTTCCTGGAAGTCCTTGAAGGATTCATAGGACTGTGTAGGAGAAGCAAAGGTGTTTTGAGTAGGAAAACAGCCCAAACCCGGGAGTAGGAATTTAGTTTAGGGAGACAAATGAAGACAATGGTTACAATAGGGCAATAAAGCAACAGATTATCTAGGTCCTTGAAGGCCAAAGGGTGTTAACATCATGACGTCACTGTGGGTCCCTGGGCAAAGGGGTGATACAGATTAGTGTATGTGAGGAAGATTAAGCTGATGGCTGTAGACTGCACTGAACCAGTAAGGATAAGAGGGGAGAGAAGACAGGAGGAGACGGTAGCTGAACAAGGGTGGCAGCAGTCAGGATTTTCAGATGAGAAGGTGGCCTGTGGTAAAAACAGGCCTTGGGGACAACAGAAAGGATGCTGTTAAAGACTATGTTATAAAGTGACCACCAGTACAAAGCAGATGACAAACAAATTATATACAAAAGTGGAAAGGAAGATAGGCACCTGCTTAGCCCTTGGACAGAGCAGCAAAGAAGGAAGGCAATGTCTACCTGGGTAGGAAGAGGGCTGTCCGGGATAGTGCTGTCCTTTACCTTGCTTATCGCCAGTCAGAACCCATATTTTAATTTTGGCTTTGCTCAGGGTGACAATTGTCTCAGGTACTCCTTTCTGAAGCTTGTCTTCTATGGCTGTGGCCCCTAGTAACTTCAGACAAGAGACACTGGTGAGTGAGGTCAAGGGTGAGAGCTTCAACACTAAGAGCAACCTGGAGACGGAGTGGGCCCCTCAGTGCTCTGAGCTCCTTGTCCTGACACGAGGACCCAGGAGGAAAGACCATGCTCTGCCCCTGATGCACACAGCTGTTTGTTTATTGGTTTGTTTGTTTCAGATAGGGTCTTGAAAATGTACCTTTGGCTGTCCTGGAACTCACTGTGTAGACCAGGATGACCTGGAACTCACTATGTAGACCAGGGTGACCTGGAACTCACAGAGATCAACCTGCCTCTACTTTTCAAGTGCTGGCACTAAAGGCGTGCACCACTATGCTGAACAATACCCACAGTTTGTTTGTTTTTAAACCACACATTGAAATTTAGAAACACAGCATTAGAAACTGGAAAGAAGACTCTTGCCCAAGTCATACATGAAGCTCTGTGCCCACACCAAACCATCTGTGTTTTGGTCCCTTCACCTCTCCCTGTACCATAGCTTGCTTTCTGGTGTCAAATGTGGTGAGTCCTAGAAGAGGGATTTCAAGTTCCCTTCAACCTCACAAGAACTTGAGTGTGCTTTATGTTTTGATCCTATTGAGACCATCTGAAACTTCTGGAACTTCCTACCTCCCTGGATTCCAAGAGTGTTGGCCTAACACTAAGCCTGTTAATAGTCTTTCTAAGATGCTGACATGGGGATGAATGAGCCCCACAGCTAAACTGAGACAGGGAGATGGACTAGCTACTAAGTGATTCCTGCCAGGTCTTCAGAAAGGCAGGCAGGAAGGAAAGCTGAGATCTTTACTATCTTTTGCTGTCAGTAATTTATCTTTTTACAGTAGAGCTAGCCTGATCAGTCTTGTAACACACACACACACACACACACACGCATGCACGCACACATGCACAGGCACACACACCTCCTTTTAGGGTCTTCTTAACTTCTCTTTTTCTTATGCCCATAATCCATCCACCTGCAAATCCTACTGATGCTCTCTTTAAGAGAACAAGGCGCTGTACTCTCATGTGCCCTTCTCCTTGGTATCCTGTCTGCCCAGTGTGCAGAGTGGAGACTGCAGGAGCTGTTACATCACTTCTCTGCCTGAGTCCTCCTGTGGCTTCCTGCCCTTTGTTCTCACACTGGCCCCTGAGTGTGCCCACTTTCTCTGTCTCAGGGCCCTTGTTCTGCCCCCTTCACTCACCCTGTCCCAGCTGATCTGATCTTTAACTAACAGGTTAAGCCTCCCCTTGTTCAGGTCTGCTCTGTTCCCATCACAGTGCATGAAGAGCTTGTTTGCACAGCTACACAGCTGGAGAGCTGCTTGGCCTGTCATCTTTCTGAGGATTCTTGGATTCTCTCAGATGTCTTCCTCACGGTGCAGACTAGCTGCTTGTGTAAAGTGCAACACACACATACACACACACACACACACACACACGCATATACACATAGATACGTATACACACACATATGTATTTTTTTGCTCATTTTCTCTACTGGTATAGGACACAGTAGATCATAGGCAGCCCTTAATAAATATACTGAATGAGTAAATTATTTTTGTCTTGATTATGACAGTAATTCACTCTGAATTACTGAATCTGTATATTACTCAGATCTTCTTTTCTGCTGGATTAATTCCTCCTCCCTCCCTTTCTTCCTCCCCAATTCCTTTCTTCCTCTAGTTTGAGACAGAATCTTAGTCTTGCTCCATGGCTGAGGATGAGCCTGAGGCTCCACTCCTCCTGGCTCCCCCTCCCAAGTGCCACAACTACAGACTGCCTGCTCCCATACCCAGTCTCATGCCACACTCAGGATGGAGCCCAGGGCCTCGTGGATGCTGGGCCAGCACTCTACCAACTGTGCTCACTCCCAGCCCTGGACAATGTTGTTTCTTTGAGCAGACTTTAGGGAGTAAGAAGGACTTAAAAAAAACTACAGCCAGAACAGTTGTTCAGGATGGATTTAGATGATTCTGGGCATGTCCAATAGGTCTGAATTTCTGTACTTTGTCTCCCAGGCACAAACGTTTGGGGCTTTCTTGTTGCGCCTGCCTACCTTCCTCCCAGGGAAAGCCTAATGTGCTGGTCCTGTGGCAGTCGCTGTTCAGAGCCCTGCTCAGTCCTCTAGCTTCCATCCCACCACCTCTGCCCTCTGTTTGTCTCGGGCTTCTTCAGACTCACCATCAAGTCTCGCTCGATTTCCTTATAGACTAGAGCTAATTTCCTCTCTCGATCCTCTAACGTCAGCCAGGCTTCACCATGCTTTTTAATCCACTTCTGGAAAAATGCCTTATCCAACTCTCGGTAAGCTACCATGAGGGTGCGAAGGCCTTCACTGGCAAAATCCTGGAAGATAAAGGTATGTGCCAAGTCTGAGCTGGGTAAAGCTGAGATAAGGGATGGGTGCTGGCTGAGAGAGCAGAGCTCATCTATCTGAGGAGGGGTCAAATGCAGATTACTGTACTAAGACCTTAAAACCAACAATAATTCTACACTATTACTGTAAAGTGAATGAGAATTCGCTGCATTATAAGATCAGAGAAGATATAAATTTGTTTTTATTCCCTGTATAGCTTCTCAGTTGATGTTAACTCCAGGCATAACAATGTAAGGCAATGCACATAGGGAATACCAAATCTTAAGTATTTGTCCCGTTCAGCAGAGACGATCTCAGGAAACTTAAGAAGGAACTGGTAGCAGCAGAAGCTGGTTCTCTGTTTGATATAGTTAAGAGGGCAATACAGCAACAGACTCATTAATCCATCTGAGAAACTATAGAACCTACTAACATCTCATCCCCACTTGTGTGGTTTTCTTCCTCCTTAGCATGGGGCAAACTGTGGCCTGGTGCCCAGGTCCTTCCTGTCACCCATTTCTATGTGACCTGTTTGCTGATCCTGGTTTCAGTGGCCAGGGGCTATGCTTCTGTGTTACAGTTTGACTTGACATCAGTGGTTTTAGTGGAACTATGTCCCATTATAAGTGGCTGCTAAAGCTGGCATCAGGAAACATGTCAAAATAGTTTCATATTTCAAACCAGGTCTGAAATAGTTTTTAATGAATGTCCTTTGAAGCCAGACTGGGGAAGCGCTCTCTTGGAAGGAGCCCTAGGTAAGTGTGCAGGATATAAGAAACTACCGAGGCCTGCACAGTAAGAGATGGAAATGCTGTCCTGTGGGGCACAAACTGACTTCTTAAAACTTGATATGGGCTGGCACGATGGGTCGGTGGGTAAAGGCACTTGTGAAACCTGACAACCCGAGTTAGAGTCCCAGGACCCACACAGTAGGAGAGAGCCACTCCTGCAAACACTCCTCCAACTCTATACTGTGCCATGGTCTTACTTACCCACATACACACACAAATTCATTTTTAAAACTTGATATATAATTCACATGCTATAAAATTCACTGTTTTAAAACACATAATTCAGTTTAGAATCTACCAAGTTTGTAGAATGCTCACCATTGTCAAATGCCAGAACATGCCCGTCAGCCTCCTCTCAACATGTCCCTTAGCAGTCACCCCCGACTCTCACCCACAACCACCAATCTCTGGTTTGCATTTTAAAATATGTCTGTCTGTCTGTCTGTTTGTCTGTCTGCATCTATCTATCTATCTATCTATCTATCTATCTATCTATCTATCTACTATCTATCTATCCACCCCCTTCCCACATCAATGAACAGCTGTGGAAGTTGGTTCTACCCTTCCACCATGTGGGGCCTGTCTCCGATCATCAGGTTTTCTGTGCTGAGCCTAGCCAGTGCTTACTTTCTCGCTCGGTAGCTTTGTAAGCCGTATCAGGAAATGCTATCTTTTGGCCTCTGTCATGTAGCGTGTTTTCAAGGTTCGTCTGCAGCACCATGCACTAAGTCCTCTCATTACCAAATAATTGCTATGTAGACAAAAAAGCATATTGCATTTATTCCTTTATCTGCTGATGGACAATTGGGTTACTCTAGCCATTTTATAGCCAAGAATAATCTGCTGTGAACATTCATGTATGATTTTTCTTTGGATGTGTTTTCATGTCTCTGGAAACAGACTTAGGAATGGAATTTCTGAGTCATGTGGTAACTCTATGCTTAATTTTGTAAGGAAATGTCAGACAGTTTTTCCAAGTGCCTGTACCATTTTACCTGTTTACCTGTATGAGGGCTCCATTTTCCCACATCTAAATGACATGTATTATGGTCTGGTCATTTGGTTTGAACCAAAATGTTATAGGGAAAAGCAATATTTCATGGTTTTTTATTTGCATTTTTCTAATAACTAGTGATATCAAGCATCTCTTCATATATTTCCTGGCTACTTGTTCTCTGACATCTGGGTCTGTGTTAATGCCTAGTAAAATAGAATTTTCTACAATCTACTTACGGAATATTTTCTGATTTGTTCCTCTTCCCTACCCTGTCCCTATCCTGATACAAAGGTCTCTTTCCTTAAACCGTTAGCCGTTTACATACACACGTAGAGGTGAGGAATCTCCCATCCTTGTCATCTGGTTTCACCTGGTTTCCTGCCACTCTCTCTCTTTTTTTAATATGATATATCCCAAATGCTAGTTGGCGGGAGTAGAGTAAGACAGAGGAGGAAGGCTCCTGTCAGGGTTGGATACCAGAGGGAAATATCAAATACCTTGGTGCTTGCTTTCTGCCCTTTACCCTAAAGGTAACATGTCTTGTGGAATAGGGCTTCTGTATCAGCAGACCATATTCTGAAGCAAATACCAGATCTTTAGGACCTCTGGAGGCAATGACCATAGAATTATTCTGATCACTGTATGTGCTCCTACAGACAGGATCCTTGTTATACCTCTAGGGTCTTGTCCCACATAATTCTCTGATACAGAAGTTGGAAATGTGGTCAGTGAGACTACAACAAAATAAAATAGTTTTAGTCTTTGTCCAACTGAAGAAAACTGATGTCAACACACAACCTATAATAGGGACATTTCTGGTCATGTGTCCAGATGTAGAGAATCACTCACAGCTTCCATCTGTGGCCACCTTAACACTTACATCTAAATGGTCCATGGTCACATCACCAAGGGATACACAAGACGGATGCAGCAGCTCATAGATGATGGTGTCTGCCCCCTTGCAGAACAACATGACCCGATCTTCAGGTGTCCGAACTAAAGATAAGCAAAGTAAGCAAAGTAACCATGCAGGCCTACTGTTTAAGTATTTGTTTTGGGCCGGGCGGTGGTGGTGCACACCTTTAATCCCAGCACTTGGGAGGCAGAAGCAGGCGGATTTCTGAGTTTGAGGGCCAGCCTGGTCTACATAGTGAGTTCCAGGACAGCCAGGGCTAAACAGAGAAACCCTGTCTCGAAAAACCAACCCCCTCCCCCCCATAAAAAGAATTTGTTTTGGTTCTCTGAGGAACTTCAGGAGCCTGTTCCCTATAACATTTGTTTCTGTGCTACCTTTGGAGGCTAAGAATTGGATGGAAAAACAATTCTTCTGTGGGTTCAATATCCTCTATGGAAGATTCTGATGCAGAATATCATTCAGTTGTTTTTGTTTTGCTTTGTGAGACAGGGTCTCACAACTATCTGAGGCTGGGGCTTGGTGTCGAGAGCAACCTTGCTTATACACTGAAGGCCTAAAATCAGCCATAGGCCTAAGTCAGCCATACATGCCTGCTAACACAAAGTCTTGGTCTCTGTGGAAAAACACTGACCCTAGAACAGATAGCTATAGACCTTGTAGACAAGCAGCCTTAGTGGAAAACTACCAGCTTGGATAAGAACAAATAGTCATAGACCTTGTAGATAGGTAGACTTGTTGGAAAGTACCAGCTTAGGTAAGAACAAGTGAATCATAGACAAGAGTCATAGTGACCTGTTTCCTGCTTCTTCACCCAGCCAATACCCTGTCCTGGAAGATATCTGTACTCCCCCTGAGAACACCTACACTTCTGCGTCATCCTCTTCCCTACATCCTACCTCTATGTGTATATAACCCCCGTGTGAAAAAAATTAAAATAACAGTTTGATCAGACTATAGACAAGCTGTGGTTCTTTGCGTTCACCTGTTTCCCTCCATTCTCTCTTTCAGGTGGTTCCCCCGGACCCTGTTCACTGCCCTGCTGGACAGGACAGCTTGGAACCTGTTATGGAGTTCAGGCTGGTCTAGAACTCATGATTCTTTCTCTTTCTGTCTTTCAACCCACAGGATTACAGGTATGTGCTACCATACCTTGTCACATTTGAATTCTTAGTCTCAAGGCCCAGATCAAGACTAGGATCAGGGATGGCCTTCTCTTAGTCTGAGTCTAAAATCAAGCTAAAGAGCAGATGGCACGAATTTCCACGGTCTCTCAGGATCCTAGGGATGGGATACAACCCTATGTATAAACTCTATATATTCTAAAGCATCTGTATAGATGCTATTTTTAATGTAGCCTGTCTACACCCTGCTATATACTTCAATCATCCTTAGACTACTCATACTACCCAATATAATGAAAATGTTATCTTTGTGTGTGTTTATATCAATCCCAGGGACTCACATACTCTAGGCAAATATTCTACCACTGAGCTACATCCCTTTAAGTAACTATAACCCTGCTTTAGAGAATAATAACAAATATAAACATTTATACATGCTCAAAACATATTTAACTTTGATTTGGGTCTTGGGTATTGAACCCAGAGGCTTGTGAATATTGAGCATGTCCTTTACAACTGAACTATATACTCTGGCCACACACAACTGTTTTTAAAAATATTTTTGACCTACGGTTGGCTGAATCCAAGGGTGAAGAGGGCCAACTATATTATTTGCTCCTATCTCTTATGCCACGTTCAGGATTTATGAATTCATTTTTTGTCCTTACTCGGACTTGAGGATGCTGGTAAGTCACCAGCAGAAATACTAGAGGAAGGACACAACACTTGTAGTAAGCCCCTATTTATATATAGGAGACAATTTAAAGGAGATGAGAGATAAAGTGTATATATTTGACGCAAACATCTGAGAGAAATCATGTGAGAGGGAGGAGGAATCTGTGTGTAGATGAAACAGAAAGCCAACATGCAAATGCATGCAAAGGACAGAAGAGAAAAGACCGGACTGACTTGCAGGGAGCACCCACCTATAACAGACATCCTCTTGCGCTCACTGCTGAAGTCCAAAATAGCCAGTAGGTGGTAAACTCGGATTTTCCCCATTTCGATCACTGTGATGGTCTCAGGTGTGCGGGAGCAGAACACAAAGCCAAAGTTCCTAGTAGCCGTAACCAGGGCACCTTCATCTGGTGACTGAGCCTGGTACACCAGCTTACCTGACAAGAGAAAGGCAACAGAGCCTACAGAGGTGAGCAATGACAGTCTACCCAGAAGTGAAGCCACGTTTCCAGTGGCTGACATAAAGCAGCCCAGAACGTGACATAATTCTTCAAAATTTCCTTAGTGCTGTGCTGAGCCCTAAAGGGCCAGGCTATACAGACCATGCAGGTCTATTTTTATTTCCAATGTCTCCGACTGGTTTCGCAATCTTTGATTAGTCGGCCTGCACCACAGGGGGCATGTAGCACACACAAGCAAAGCAGGCAGCTACTCTCTAATTGTAGTGGGTAAAGATGGCTCAAGGAACAGTTCCTGGGTCCCACTTAAATATACTGAGTCCAGAATAGCAAATCTTGGAGGAGGAAAATTGAGTTGAATATTGCCATGTAAGGAAATAAGATGATGATTTAGTGAATAATACAGACTACTTATGAGTGTCGCCCCTTTGGCTCACCCTGAGATGGTAACAACTCACCATTCAATTATTCTTTCTCCACTGACTACTCAGAAGCTTTGGAACTCTTCTCTAAGAATACTATTATAACTGAGGTGCTGGATTATTTTCTGAAGGCCATTTGCTTTTTTCTATTTTTTAAAAAAGAATTATTTATTTATTTTATGTATATAAGTACAGTGTAGCTGTCTTCAGACACACCAGAAGAGGGCAGCAGATCCCATTACAGATGGTTGTGAGCCACCATGTGGTTGCTGGGAATTGAACTCAGGAACTCTGGAAGAGTAGTTTGTGCTCTTAATTGCTCCATCCCCTGCCATTTACTTTTTAAAAAAGGCGTCACCAGAGACTTATCTTTGTAAATAAGGTAGAGGAACATAATTTTAAGTCAGACTTGAATCTGCTCAACAACAAACACTACCCTTTCTGCTTTAAACAGCTGCTTGCTGGGACGGTAGTCCCAGTGAGGTGCGATGGGGTTGGGAGTCCCCAGGGTCAGGGGACATGAGATTTGGGATCTTACCTATCTCTGTCCTTCTCACTATAAGATTTTAGGTAAGTAACTTGATCTCTTTTTAGCTGTAATTTCCTCAGTAAAACTGGGGTCATTTTCCCGTCTGCCTGTCTCAGCTGATGCTGTAAGGATTATGGACTATAAACACGGAAACTGTTGTGAAACTGTGGAGTGATACACAAAGTGATACAGTGTTATTGGGAATAGTAACTGTAATGACTTGAGAGAATATCATTCATCTGGAAGCCTAAAGACTTGTTTGTAAGAATTCTTAGGGCTGGAGAGATGGCTCAGCAGCTAAAAGCACAGGCTGCTCTCCCAGAGGACCCTAATTCAATTCCCAGCAACCACATGGTGGCTCACAACCCCCTGTACCCCCAGTCCCAGGGGACTGATGTCCTCTTCTGACCTCTACAAACACCAGGCATATAAGTGGCACACAGACACATGAAGGCAAAGCATGCATATACTTAATACTAACAAAATTTAAAAACAATAAAAAATGAATAGTGAATAAACAGTCATTTTTTTATTTATTTAAAAAATAGTTTGGGTAAATTAATGGATGACTGTGCCATATTTGGTTACTAAAAGAACTAAGACTTGTGGTGTCACTTACATTGTAAGGGACAAGAAGACAACTCAACTCAGGAAGTCTTGTCCAAGGCAGTGGGACTGATCAGATGGATCCATTATTCTGAGACTGACTCTTTCCCTAAACCAAGAGGTTACTCTCTACTCGCTGCTCGCAGAGTTTAGCACTCCACAGCTGGGCAGTGCTCCCTTGTTAGAGAGTTCTTTCCTAGGTCAGACTGTTCAAAGCCTTTCACTCACTCTCAACCAGCCCTGTCGTGGGAACGCGGTATCCTTCCATGAGGCCCCTGCTCACCTTCCGCCTTCTCTTCTGACATCACCGTGTGGCACAGCGAGAGGCAGAGGAAGAACAAGTAGACCAGAGGGTCTTCACTCTTCACCGCTTCCACCAAAGTCTTGTCATAGAATGAAAACTTAGGGTCGGCCAGGTGGTTGTAAGAGAAATCCACCTTGTTATTCTGGAACATAAATCCCAGAACAAGGCTCTCAGCCACAGGTGCACATTTTCTAGACTGTCACACTGGGGTTGCTGAAGGGGAGAGGAAGTGAGACGGCTGCATGCAGACCTGGGCTGTTTGTTTACGTGCAGCAGGGAGGAACCCTCCAGAGGGAAGCATGGTGGAGCTCTTGCCCACTTGCACTCCTTCTCCTGTAAATGACCAATGGTGACCTTTAAACTTGACCTTTCCAGTTTCCAGATCCTATCTGATAATCAAACCTGGGGGTACAAAGGCCTAACTGCTCTGTTAATAACAGGCAGGTGAGAAAATTCTAATTTCTGGTTTCTTCTCTTTGACTTAGGGGCTGAGAAAAGAAAAGGTCCTGCACACGATGGTATTATTGTACTTGATCCCACAGAGAAAAACGGGCTGCGGATGAATGTTGGAAATGCCACACGGCAAGCTTCGGTGCACGCTTGCTTACATACTTAATACTGTCTGAGCTGTAGCATACCTGCTCTTCTAGCCTCTAACCTACTCTCATGGTCCGACCCAGTGGTCTCCTGTTTAGTCCTTGCCTCAGTCTGTGCATTTACTATCTGCCTGACTATGGCCTTGGCCCTTCAGACACAGGCTCTCGTCTCCATTCAAGTTGGGCTCCTTGCTGTCACTAAGCATGACAACCGCAGTATGTTAACATACTTGTCCAGTCCATATCAGAATTTTCACAGATCTTTCTCCAGTTCTTTATTGTTGCACTATCACCTGTGCTGGGCCCCAGTATTCAAGTACACAGACAGCTATTCTGCTTGGTGCATTGCTGGGAAAGGAGGGGTTTGTAGAAGCTATGCTGGCTCTTCTGTATGTCTCATCTAGTAAAGAATTTTGCCAAAACAAGTACAGTCTCCAGATCTTTAAGCTACTTAGTCAATCATCAAGGTATGAACTCTTAGGAGTTTATGGGTTCAAACATTTAAGACAACCCATTACATAACATCCCCTGAGGTGTTTCTAGAATTGGCATCTTAAACAGGCACATTATTCGAAATAAAAGCCTGGGGATAAGGCTGCAGAGGAAGGGTTAGCTCCTGTATTACCATGTTATTTGTAACTTTCTACCAGAAGTGACCATCAAATCTGTCAGAAAGCCCCCAGCGTCTGTATAGGGAGTATATTGAAAGTCGCAAGATGAAACAGGGAGACCGGCTAGGAGATGATTTAGTAGCTCACAGGAGAAATGATAAAGAACTCACAACAAATGTTAAATCAAAGATTAATGTGCAAACACAGCGAGCTGGAATTGGCGTACTGTCAGAAGAATAAAAAAAGAAAAAGAGTTAAGAATAATTTTATATAACCCCATTGGACCACTGGATAAAAGATGAGGTCCTTTACCATGATAGGATATTCAGTAGGTATGGAAGTTTGTACAGAGAAACAACTGGATACATACGTGGTCATGCACGTAGCCATTGTGCACATAGTCTCAAAGCTCAGGAAAGAGGTACAAGTATGTAGCGGGACATTTTCCTGCAACATTTGCAATAAGGCTCAGTGATTGGGCTTATGAAAGGTAGGCGGAGTGAGGAGTTGGGAGAGAAGGTGAGGAGGAAAAAGGAGGACGAGGAGGAGGAGGAGGAGGAGAGAAGACAGCTGTGGATGTACAGGTGTCTCTTGCAGTCTACGGTAGTTGTAATATCTAGGTTAGATAATTGGGTAACAATTCTAATTGTGTGGGCATCTTGTTAATTGAGCATTTCCAAATATATAAATCCACTGGATAATCTTTAAGCATTAGGAGCCTTTATTCTACCGGGTACCACAAGGATGGCGGGTGTTGTCTGGGGTTCATCTGAGCTTTGTGGAGACATCGTGGTGGATTGGCAGAGCCATCTCCCATGCTGGCATCTCATGGGTGCCAGGGCTGGTGTTTCTAGACAGCCGGAGCCTCGGTCACAGCTAAGGAGCAGTGGGAACATGGTGGCTGCCCGGGAACAAGCCGGACCAGGCGCTGTTTTCTAAGTATTACCAGTTACACAAGTAAGTTTTTTTTTTTAATCTTTCCTTCTAGATAAGTAATGTGTGATAACAGAAATCAAGTTGGTACTGACCTGGAAGCTTTTTTCCTACCTAATAAGTAGCTTTATTAGCTGCAAGCTGCTATGCACAGGACTAGGGCAGAAAAGTTTTCACCAGTCTTACCTATCTGTTAACCCTGCTGGCTATATGACAAATTGTCCTGGAAAGAGATGCCCACTGTTGCAATAATGACACAGATGTTATGACAGTAACCAACCATTTTAAGGCCTGCTCTGTAAGACAGGGTTCATGCCTGGCACTGTTAACAGGGCAGAGAAGCTGAGGCGAGGTAGGTCACAGGCCACAGGGGAGAATACACTAGTGTGACTCTGCTAACTAAATGGAGAGTTACACTAACGCCTAATACTTATTGTTAGACCCAAGGAGTAGTGCACTGCTCAGTCCTCATCAGGGAGTAGATGGCAATTAATACAGAGACTCACGCCTGGAAGGCGGTGTTGTTGTTGTTTTGGTAAGACACAGGTTGTTTTTGCATTCCCTACCTCAGCTCTTTGGGTGGATGGAACAAGATGATAGCTGGTAGTTAGAGTTAGCTGTATATAAGTCAGGTAGCTAAAGGTTTGGGATTGGGTCTAGCAGACATCGATCAGACGAGGGATACCCTCAAGGCAAAGAGATTCTAAGAAGAGATGTTTAAAATCAAATCCATAAATACAAACTGAGTTACAACACTGTAAAAAAAAAACAATAAGACAAACCAGGTAGAGATAGATAATTTCATAACTAATGGATTAAGAGTATACAGTATTCCCACAAAGGAAAAAGGTCAATATATTTGAAAATAAATTCAAACCTCTACATGGTAAAACCATCTAGTTTTATTTTATCTTATGTGTTTAGTGTTTTGCCTGAATGTATGGAAGTGGACCACACATATACCTGGTATCTGCAGAGGTCAGCGGAGTGTCAGGTCCCCTGGAACTGGAGTTGCTGATGGTTGTAAACTACCATGTGGATGCTGGGAACTGAACCCAGCTCCTCTGTGCTCTGAACTGCTTAACCATCTCTTCAGCCCCCAGAGTAAAAATATTTAAAGGCACTAAAAACTGAGCCAAAGAGATTATTCAGCAACTTGAGTTTGATCCTGAGGACCCACACAGTAAAAGGAAAGAACTCCCAGTTCCTGGGAGTTGACCTCTGACCTCCATGTGTACAAAGTGGCAGCTCCCACTCAATAAATAGAAATGTAACTTAAAAAAAAAAAAGAACCTAAGAATTTAAAGATAAAAGGAGAACAACAGTGGCAACAATGTGTTAATGAGAAGAAGAGAGTTATTTTTACCATATAGACGACTTATAAATAAGAAAAAGGGCAAAGAACATGAATAGACCTGAAAGTGTTCAATAAGGAGAGGAGAGGGGAAAGAGGAGTACACATGGTTCCACCTAAGTGTCAATCACAGCATGGGATTAGATAATGACACTGTATGGGAGCTGAGAGTACTAGACCACAGGGGTCAGGTAAGGAGCAAGAATCATCAGTGCGACTAGAGAGAACCAATTGTGCTATATACGTCTCAAAAAGCTGGAAAAGGGCATTCTGAATATTTAAAAAAATTTTATTGATTCTTCGTGAGTTTTGTTATGGTCTGCCGCCCCCCTGCCCCTCCCCCCCACCAAAATAGCTGTAGCCATTTTGTTCCATGCCTGCCACCTATTTCATATTGTTGCTGTAACATGCCTGCCGGTCATTGACACAGAGAAACAACCTGGTTCAGAGCAAGGACAATGCTGACCACATACCCTGTTATGTTCAGTATGTTCTGTATGAGGTTTGCTAATCTTAAGAAATTCCACAAAGCTTTACATAGGACCCATCAAACCAAAGGGCAGTATGAACTGCTAAGTCTAAAATATCTTGAGTCAGAGCTGACCATTGGTAGCACTTCCTGCACCTACGTATGAATGCACTCACTGTGGATTTTGTGGCTGACACTGAAGAGACAAAAAAAATTATGATTATGTTTTGAAATTCTCCTGTTTGCCATCCATCCACCTCGCCCCCAACCTTACTCAGGACCTCAGAGTAAAGGTTAGCTGATAATACTCTGCCTAGGAAGCCAACTGCTCCCCTCCTTGCCCTTTAAACTTTAAAACCTGGTTTATCCTATAAAAGCCTCCCCCTCCCCCCCAGAGCAGACTAGTGCCACAATTCGGCAATTCGGCTTCTGAGTCTTTTTTTTTTTTTGCGGTCCTGAACATTCAGTATTAAGGTGTATATTCAATAAACTATCCTTGCTTAACTGAGATTGGTGTTTGTATGGTTTGTATGGCGATTCCTGAACCCCAACAAATTTCATATTATCTATCCCAATTTCTCCATATCCACCCTCTGACCTTGCAACCTCCCCACCTCCTGCCAAACACAAAACAACCCCCCAAACCAACCAAATCAAAGCCATCCTGCCACGGAAGCTTCAGTGTATCGTGGTGTGTCTCACAGTACACCCTTTTGTCCACACATCTTTACCTGCAGATGCTCACTGCAGTGAGTCACTGTCTATTCCAGGCCTCTGGCTTCTGCTACACAATCAGAGCTGGATCCTCACCAGCATTCCTTTTGGATATCCTGCTGTTGCCCTGGGTCATGGAGATCCTGCAGCTTTGGATCTGCAGGACCAGCCCCTTTATGGTCCAGCAGTTTATAGATGGGGTAGATCTATAAACTGCTGGTGGGCCAATTCAAAGTGGGCCCGGGCCTGGGTGGTAGCTGAGTTGGTCAGCTTGCCAGCTGTCCCACACCCATACCACTAGGGCCAATTCTTGTGCTTTGCCCAAGTGAGAGGTGAAGCCAACTCTCCAGTATTGGGGCCAGCTTTCCCGCTCTCATGACCTGGAGGCCAGCTCTCCCACACTACCAGAGCCAGTTAGTTCTACTGCACTTCCCAGGCGAGGTATGGGTGCTCCCATTCCAACCTTCCCACCCTGCTCTCCCAAGTGCTGCAGCAAGTGAGGCGTGGGGCCAGCTCTCCTGAACCACCCAGTGAGTATTCTGAATATTTCTAACATAAAGAAAGGATAACTGTTTGAGGAGATGTATTTACTAACTTGAACCTTACACAATGTATACATATGTGAAGACATGCTAGGTATAATGGTGTGCACCTTTAATCCCATACTCAGGAAGCAAAGATAGGCAGAGCTCAGTGAGTTTGAGGCTAGCCTGGTCTACAAAATGAGTTCCAGGACAGCCAGTGTTGTTACACAGAGAATCCCTGTCTCAAAAGGACAACAACAAAAACAAACAAAACCAGAACATTACATTGTATCCCACAAATGTCTAATTTTGCTTTTATGTATTAGTTATAATACATTAATTAAAAGTAATAAGCCAGGTGTGATGGTACAAGACCCAAATACCAGTAACAAAAGCCTAAGGCAGGAGAATCAAGTTTCAGGTTAACCTGGACTATGTATGGAAACCTTGAGTCAGAAAAGAGTGGGGACACAATTTCTATCAATTTGATATACACAGATTAAAAAATTGTTAAAACCTAGTATCAACAAGGATATGGGAAAAAAAGGAATTTTCATATATTTATTGTGGGGTGCAAGCCTATCTAGTTTGTCTAACTAATTTTGATGCCGGGACTTTATTCTATGGAAATAAAGAACTAGATCATCAAGAGGCTTACCAAATGTTACTGTACTGGTAAAAGAACATGAGAAACAATACGGAAACAGATAGCTAACCGGGGTATTCCAGTTCACTGGGACAATATACACAACAATTATAATGATACCTCAGAATAAGATCTGCTGAGATGCAAGGGTGACCAGGATGTAATGTAAGAAATGGATCCTGGAAAGATCACACATACTATGATTTCTGTTTGCCACTTCCTCCATACATGTGTGTGTGTATGTATGTGTGTGCTGGAGAGCTGGCTCAGCAGTTTTGAGCAGTTGCTGCTTTTGAAGAGGGCCTGGGTTTGGCTCCCAGTATTTGCACCAGGCAGCTTACAATCACCTATACATCCAGTTCCAGGGGATCCAATGTCCTTCATGGTATTGCAGGTATGTTGTGCACAGGTAGACATGTAGACACATACATACATATATGTAAAATAAGTTTTAAATTAGTTTTTTTTTATCATTCTTCTCCCTCATCTCATTCCTCCCTCAAAAACTCTCCTATATGTCCCGCCTTGCTCTTTCAAATTCAGGGCTTTTTTTCACTAACCGCTGTTACATTCGTGTGTGTGTGTGTGTGTGTGTGTGTGTGTGTGTGTGTGTATTTTTAAATACAGAAGTACAATCTGCTAAATCTGTATATATAATGTTACTCCCATGTATGTCCCATGTATGTTTAGGGCTGACCGTTGGGTGTTGGATAACCAGTTGATGCATTCTTCTCTGGACAAGACTACTTCTCCTGTTTCCTTAGTTGCCTGTAATCCTTTGTGTGGCTCCCACCGCCACCTCCCCAGCCCCGCCGATCCATCTTAGCTTGTCTGCTCTTGTCGTCCTTATTCAGCTCATGTTCGGGCAGTCGTGTTGGTAAGACTTTAGGAGACCACGTCACAGCAAACTTCCTGTTCCTCTGGCTCTTGCCATCTTTCTGGCCCTTCTGCTACAATCTCTTATCTCTAGGTGTGGGAGTTGTACTGTAGATGCATTAGTTGGAACTTGGCGCCATAACTTTGCATTTGATTGGTTGTGGTTTTCTGTGAGTCCCTATTACTGAAGATGACATATATTTCAGTTTGGGTCCAGAGACCCCTGAACTGGAACTGACCTGAAAGCATCTTCCTTGAGGACTAGCTTTTGTGGGCTCCAGAACATGCCTCAAAAGCTTCTAAAGGATGACAGCAACCAACAGTTATACCCAGCTAATACCTACGAATCATAATAAAGACTTATACAGCACAATAGCCCCAAGGGTGCAGTAGTGGCATACATACTTTGGCAGTAACCAACAGCTTTCTAATTGGACTTAAGATCTACTCAACAAAAAGAACCATTCCTGGAACTGGAAACCTAGCCAACTTTATGGGATGAGTGAAGCCATGGATCTTTGATAAGAATCTACAACTGCCAATTTATTAAATCAGCATAATTCCTAACTACAATCTAAGTATTTGTCCTTATACCTACAAATAAATATAGTCCTCACCCTCATCAAGGAAACTTCTCTTTCCACATGATTTTAATGTTATGGCTTGTTTGTTTGTTTGTTTGTTTGTTTTTTCGAGACAGGGTTTCTCTGTGTAGCCCTGGCTGTCCTGGAACTCACTCTGTAGACCTGGCTAGCCTCGAACTCTCGAACTCAGAAATCTGCCTGCCTCTGCCTCCCAAGTGCTGGGATTAAAGGCATGCGCCACCACCGCCCGGCTTAATGTTATGTTTTTAAGATAGCATCTCTCATTGAGTATCTTGCCTTTGTATCTAGATTGTTGGCCTGTGACCTCCAGTGACTGTCTCCCAGCACTGGGTCTATGGAAGAGAGCTGCTGCATCAGCTTCTTATGTGGGTGGTCCAAACTCACATCCTCATGCTTCTAAGGCAAGCCCTTTACCAAAGGAGCTATATCTCAGCCCCTATTTGAAAATGTTTATAATGATTGTACTGTGGTTTGGATAAGAATGGCCCCATAGGCTCATATGTTTGAATGCTTGGTCTCCAGCTGATGAACCATTTGGAGAGATTAGGGGGCGTGGCCTTCTTGGAGTAGGTGTGTTGCTGGGGGCTGGGGTTCTGAGGTTTCAAAAGCCCATGCCAGGCTGTGTCTTCCCCTCTATTTGCTGCTTGTGAATCAGAATGTCAAGCTTTTGGTTACTGCTTCAGCACCATGCTGTCTGCTTCCTGCCTTGAGGATAATACACTAGCCCGCTGAAACTGTAAGCAAGTCTCCAATTACATGCTTTCTTTTATAAGTGTTGCAAGGATCATGGTGTCTCAATAGAACACTGACTAAGACAGAAGTTAGTACAAGACATAGGGTATTACTGCCATAGGCCTGACCATGCTGTTGTTTGGAGGAGTATGGAAGAGTTTTGGACTCTGAACTAGAAAGCACCTTCTAAGGTAAAAGATAAATTATTGTACCTGCCCCTCTACCAGCAAGAAAGAATCACAATTATAGTGGGTCTGTTTGGATTCTAGAAACAGGACATTCTTTACCTGGGTGTGTTACTTTAACCTATATATCAAGTGACTCAGAAAGCTGCTAGCTTTTTGTGGGACCTGGAGCAGAAGAAGGCTCTTCAACAGGTCCAGGCTGATTAGCATACATATACATATATATATTATGTATGATACATATATATTATATATAATATGTATATATATTAGAGAAAGAAAGGGAGGAAAGGAGGGAAGAAGGGAAGGAGGGGGGGAGGGCGGGAGGGAAGGGGGGGGGGGGGGGGGGAGGGAGAGGGAGAGAGAGAGAGAGAGAGACAGAGAGAGAGAATAGCCATTTATAGAATGGCTCACAGGCTGTGGTCCAGCTAGTCCAATGACAACTGTCTACCAACAGAAAGTCCAAGAATCAGTACACAAGGCTGGATGGTCTTCAGTGTATACCAGAATCTGCAAAAAGTAGGCTCTAATATAAGTGAAAGGATTCAATTGCCAGAGTGAGTAGAGGGCAAGCAGTCAAAGAGAACAAGCTCCCTTCTTCTATTCCTTGCCTAGTCTGCCAGCAGAAGAGATGGGCCAGATTAAAGGTAGATCCTCTCACCCCAAAAGATTCAGATTAAAAGTAAGTCTTCTCACTTCAAATTATCCAATTAAAAAAAATCCTTCACAGTTGTACCCAGCCACTTGGGCATTAGTTAATTCCAGATGTGATCAGGCTGACAACCAATTACAGCCATCACACTTGGGTCCAGATGTGGTCAAGCTGACAACTGATCACAGCCATCACACTTGGGTCCGGTCCAGTATTTCCTCATTACACTTCCTTTCCTCACCTTTGGAGTGGTGGCATATATTCTGTGCCAGTGTATGCTGGAAGCATGTAATCTGCTTTTTGCTTTTATAGGAGGTTACAGTTAAGAGTCTGTCTTGAGTCTCAGAAGAGACTTTGGACTTTAACGCTGTTTTGAGACTGGAAGATTACGGGGACTTTTAAAACTGGAGTGAATGCATTTTGCATTATGATATGGCTACACCTCTGTGGAAACCAGGGAAGGAAATGCAGCAATTTGAATGAGAATGGCCCCCACAGGCTCATTTACTTGCATGTTTGGTACCCAGCAGGTGAACTGTTTGGAAGGATTAGAAGGTGTGGTGTGTCCTATTTGAGTAGGGGTGTTGCTGGGGGGTGTTGCTGGGGTGGGCTCTGAGATGTCAAAGCCCATGCCTAGTCCAGTATTTCTCCTTCTGCCTGCTGCTTGTGGATCAGGAAGTAAAGCTCTCAGATGCTGTCCCTGCACCATGCCTAATGATGACAGACTAGCCCTTGGAAACTAAGCCAGCCCCCAGGTAAATGCTTTCTTTATAAGTGTTGCCTTGGACATGGCATCTCTTCCCAGCAATAGAACAGTGACTAAGACAACGATCATGAATTGTTCTGAGAGAGATTGAGAGAGATAGAGAGATAGAGATAGAGATAGGGGAGGGGGAGGCAGAGGGGAAAGGGAAGAGGGAGAGGGAGGAAAGGAGAGTTGAGGCATAGTCAACACCGAGAATACTACTTTCATTAAAAAATTCCCAAATAAACACAGACCATGTATATAATTTTTTTAAAAAAATATTAGGCCACTAAAATCTCATTATTTCAGGAATAGACTGCACTGTATAAGACACTTCTGTCCTGACTTCCCATGCGTAAGTCACAAGGAGCTGTAACTACTCACTGGAGATTTTGGCACATGCTGTCCATTGTCGTCGTAGGAATAACCTATTGGCAAGTAAATGAAGCAGAGATTTAGTGAAAGGTTAAAGGAAGTTTTTATCTTATTGTGTGTGCTATAAATCTGCCACTTTTAAAATTCAGCACCGCTGATTACACCCACAGTGCTGTGCAGCTATCATTACCACATATTTGCAATACATGGTTTTTTGGCAGTGCTGGGGCTCACACCCCGCGCATCCCGCATGCTAAGCAGTCATCTGCCGCCATATTCTCAGCACTCAGCACTCTGTAAGTACTTCAAATAGAAACCCCCCACTCCCCTTCATTTCTAGCCCCTCGCCACTGCTTTCTGCTTTTATTTCTGTGGATTTTTCCTATGCTAGATTCTTCATTCAAGGAGAACCATGCAAGATTTGTCCTTTTGTGTCAGGCCATTTACTTAGCACACTGTTGTGCCAGGGACCAAATTTCATGACTGTTGATGAGCAAATCATACTCCATATTTTATGGCCTACTTTAAAATGTCTACTTATCTATTGATGAACATACGAGATATTTCTACTTTTGAGCAATAATGCTGCAGTGAATATTTGCAAACACCTGCTTTAGTCTCTTTTTCTGCTTTAGGACAGTATCCAGGAAGGAGATTTCTGGGTAATTTAAAAGAAGGCTTTCTTTTATTAATTTTTTGTGTATGAATGTACATATGCACACATATGTGTGGCGGCCAGAGGCCAGCCTTAATGTCATTCCTTAGAACACACCATTCACAGTTTTCTTTTCTTTCCTTCCTTTACTCTGTGTGTGTGTGTGCGTGCATGTGTGTGCGTGTATGCATGCGTGCGTGTGCGTGTGCATGCGTGTGTGTGTGTGTGTCTTATCAGTTCGGAGCTAGAAGCACAAGATAGCACTGTAAACTGTGCTTAGCTGCTATACTCTACTGTGGACTCAAAAACGTACTCTTTCTCAATGAAAAATTTCTACCCCTTTACCAATATCCATTTGATTTTATATTATTAATAATTGAGCACATTATTTTTCTTCAAGATATTGGGAATCCTTTGGGACTAATGACTAAATCTTGTAAATTTTGGTATTCTTAAAATATAAAACAAAGGATTTCATCTACTAAGGGCTAAATAGATGTGTTTCTGGTTAGAACCATATTTTTGAGGTTATAATACAATTACATCATTTCTCCCTTCTCTTTCTTCCCTCCAGACATTTCCATACAACCCTTCCAATTTCCCTCAAATTTATGGCCTCTTTTTTCAGTAATTGTTATTGCATGCATATATATTTTTTATATGCACATAAATATACATACATATACTGTATATGCACATATATACATATACACATATATATTTATGTATAACCACATATATACAAACACACACACACAAAACCTGTCGAGCTCATGTAAGGTCATGTGTGTGTATGGTTTTAGGGCTAACTGGCACTGGACAAGCAGTTGGTGTGCTCTTCCCTGGGGAGGGCCACCTCTTCCATTCCCAGCTTAGTTAATAAAGGGCTGTGAGGACAGATGGTAAATAGAATTTCAGAGGCTCTGTAGACTTCGGCTACTTGAAAGCAGCCTGCCATGCAGAGTCTCTTAGACTAAGGAAGGGAAGGAAAGTGCACGTACCATAGGTCTTCCCATTGATAGAACATTTGTCGAAAATCATCACATTCTCAGTCAGGGTTCCTGTTTTGTCAGAGAACACATATTCAACCTGGCCGAGCTCCTCATTAAGAGTGGTGGTGCGAGCCTGTGCTGGGGTGTTCTTTGGGGCGTAAAACATCTGCCGATCCCAGTTGATGTAGTAACTGTTCCCCAGTCTTATTATCTCCACACTAAGGAGAAAGCAAGACCCAGGTGCTGGTCAGAGCAGGACAAGCAGATCTATTATTTTGGTTTGCTTCTTCTAAGTCCATGACAGATGAGGGTCTGCATGTGGATCTACCTTCTATGGGGCTTTCCCACACCAGCCAGTGCATCCTGGCTCTGACCCTGGCTACTCTTATACAAGGTTTTCCCACCAGGACCCCAACGAGCTGATCCATTTGTCCGGGATATACTTCGCTTCCACTCATCTTCTGCAATGTGTCCAGAAAGAGTCAATTAAAAAAGTACCTTCGGAGGAACAGTTAACTTATGAAAGGTAAGGTTGTTGTTGTCATTAAAAAGACTATTCCTGTGGCCATGTTGGAAAGAGAGAGAAACTTGCAACACTAAGATATTCTTTGCTTCAGGAAAAAGGAAAAATCTGTGAAAGTCAGAGGCTGTTTTAGGAGTTCATTCTTGGATGGGATTCCAGCCTGTGCTGTCCCATTGCACTCTGTCTTTCCAAATGACCTCTCTCTACACCAGCGAGTCTCAGGAGTATCATCAGATCAATTTTAAGTGTGCATGCATCCAGGCATGGTGGTACATTCTTTTTAATCCCAGCACTCAGGAGGCAGAGGCAGGTGGATCTACGTGAGCTTGAGGCCAGCCTGGTCTACAAGAGTGAGTTCCAGGTTAGCTAGGGCTACCCAGTGAGAGCCTGACTCAAAACTTTTGAGTAAGCACACACACAATGGCTTCCACACGGCATTTTCATGAGGTTTGTTCCTGTGCGCTCGTCCTGTGAGCCTTCCTCCCGCCCTGCCATCTTGCTGGCCTCCATACTTCCCCTGACTTGTCCGTATGTGTTCACATCAAATGTATTTCATTACTCTCTTTTTTGCCTCCTCCCTTAAAATCTCTTCCTCCCCTCACACATATACACACAGACAAATTTAAATCTAGGTTCCACATAGAGAAAACATGTAGTAATTGTCTGGGTCTGACTGATTTTGTTTACCTCAGTGACTTCCCTAAGTTTGAAGAGGCTGTCATTTCTCCAGTGTATGTTTTTGACATGTCCTAAAGACTAGGTTGTGTGAACTGTGTGAAGAAGACAGACTAGGTCTTCTCTTATTGCACAGTTACCATGTCTATCTTTGTGCCAGTGCCAGGCTGGACTGGTACTACAGCCTCTAGTATGAGATCAGCTATGGGGTACTCTAGCATTTCCTCATTGGCTACAGAGACTCCTGTACTTCCACATTGATTTTAGCATTTTTTCCTTCCTAGTGTTATAAAGACTGTCATTGGGATTTTGATGGAGATTGTGTTGACTCTGTAAAATTTGTGTTCAGTACCATCGACATTTTGTATTAATTCTGCTGACCCAGGGGTGTGTGTGGGGGGGGACTCTGTGTCTTCTAGTGCCTTTTTCTGTTTCATTTATTCAGTGTTTAAAGGTTTTCATTGTAGAAGTCTTTCTTCCTTGTAGATATTTTTGTTTTGGAGCTACTGAGAGTGAGAATTCCTCCTTCCAATTCCTTACTTGAAAACATCATTATTGCCTTTAATCCCAGCACTTGGGAGACAGAGGCAGGCGGATTTCTGAGTTCAAGGCCAGCCTGTTCTACAGAGTGAGTTCCAGGACAGCTAGGATTACACAGAGAAACCCTGTCTCGAAAAAAAAAAAAAACCTGTCATTATCAGTATAGAGAAAAGTTACTAATTGTTGTATGTTGTGTGTCCTGGTATATTTTTTTTTCTTTTTATTTATTTATTTATTTATTTATTTATTTATTTATTTAATTTAGATGAGTACACTGTGGCTGTCTTCAGACACATCAGGAGAAGACATTGGATCCTATTACAGATGGTTGCAAGCCACCATGTGGTTGCTGGGAATTGAACTCAGGACCTCTGGAAGAGCAGTCAGTGCTCTTAACCACTGAGCCATCTCTCCAGCCCCGTGTCCTGGTATTTTAATAAGTGTTTTTTTTTAAATTAGATGTAAGCCTTCTCTGATGAAGTCTTTCAAGTGTATGATCATGACATCTGCAAAGAAAGATCATTTAACTCCCTTTCCTATCTGTATTTCTTTTATTTCTTTCCTGTCTCATTGTTCTAGCTTAGATATCAATCACTATATTGCTCGAGAGTGAAGGACCAGAGTGACAGTTTAATGATAAGGCGTTTGTTCTGCAATCGGAAGAACTGGACCTGAGGGCTTTGGGGATCTGCCTGCATTTCCAGTATTGAATGGTGAAGACAGGCGATCCCCAGAGCAAGCAGGCTAGCTGGACTAGCCTGTGTCAGTGATTTCTGTTCCACTGAGGTGGTTCAACAAGAGACCCATATCAATGAATAAGCTAGAGAGTGACTGAAGAAGACTCCTAGCAGTTACATTTTGGTTTCCACACACATGTGCACACATGTGCTTAAGTACCCCCCACGAACATGTAAAGAGACATATATACACATGCGTGCATACCACATACAGATATACATGCAAGAAAAAACGGTGGAGAGAGCAGTCATCCTTATTTCAGTGTGGATTGCAGAGAAAATGCTGTCAGTATAAACTTTGCTATCATTTTGGCTACAGGTTTATCACACACACCTTTAACCATGTACTTTCCCATTTTCTTCAGGGCTGGTATCATTAAATATTCTCATTTGCCCTCTTTTTCGGTGATTAATAAAAGATATATTTATGCAAAAATACAGCATACTTAATAGGAAAGGTTAAATGTTCAGGTCAACTTTTCTCTCCCTGTCTGCTTTGAAAATGTAACACCAGATGGTGAAGAGCCCATTTCCTCACACAGCTCCTAATAGCAAGTTCTTGGGAGTGGGTCTGAATTAGGAGAGCTATTTGCTCCTCTTGCTTCAGGCCAGTGAATCAAAGCCCGATCTTGAGTGTGCTCTTGGTGCGGGGCCATTGTACTAAAGGAGGCACTCCCACTTAACCCACACTTGGCTGGGTCAACGGGCCTGAAAGGGTGGCGAGGGGTGCAGGCTTCTACTTAGGAAGCAGCAACTTGGCTCCAGGGTGTAAACTGTACCTCCATTCTTCTCTACATCCACTCGGATGATGGCGTGATTTCTGTCAAGTCTATGCTGTGTTACGTTTATTGATCTTAGTATATTGAGCCAACCGCGAATCTCAACTTGGTTATGATGTCTCAGTCTCCTCTTTCCCACTTCTTTGTCTGCTTTTTGCTGTAGTTTAATTTTATATCATTCTAAAAAAAAAGTTATGTGTTTTAAAAATTTTTTATAGTATATTAGTTAGTGTTTTGCCTGTGCCTGGTGCCCTCAGAGGCCAGAAGAGGGCGCCACATCCCCTGAAACTGGAAATACAAATCTTTGTGTGCTACCATGAAGGTGCCAGAGACTGAACCTAGGTCCTCTGCAAGAGCAATAAGTGCTTAACCACTGAGCCATCCTATTTTCAGATCTTTTTAAAAGTACTTAGAGCCAGATACATTATGTCATGTACAATATGGGTTTATTATAATCTATTATATTGTTTAATACATAAACAATATATCATATAATATGCCACTTATTATATCTATAGTACATGATTAATATTATATAGTTGTATGTAATTATATTAATAATTCACATTATTTCTTAGATGTTGGTTGGTTCATTACTGCTTATAAGATAAAGTCCAAACTCTTCTGCTTGTAATTTATGTTATTTTGGATCTGATACTTTGGTCTAATTTGAGAAAACTTCCACACCTTATATCTGAAAAACTGCCCACCTCAGTATTCTTTATTCACTTGCTTTCAAATACAGTCTGAGGGTTGCCTTTCCTGCAAACTCTCCTCAGCCTCCCTGGGCAGAGCTCGACTATGCCTCCTTACAGTGTTTATAATACACATGCACATTTTGGTGACAGGATGCTTGTATTGGACAATAATTCTTTATTGGTCTCCACAGCTACAACCAAATGTCTCTAGAAAAACTGATGCTTTATCATGCAGTTTCTGTCCCTAGCACCTAGTAAAGGATGTGGCACATACTAGGTTGTCATTTATTAAATAAGGTAACTCTGTTATGGAGAATGCTTTCAGGGTTAGGAGACTTGGAAAGGAGGGAAACAGACAGACAGACAGATAGACAGACATACACACACACACATACATACACATACAAAATTGATTCTTTAAAAGGCAAATAAAATTTATAAACACACACTAGTCAAAGGAAATAGAAAAAAACTCAAATTAATAATATTAGAGATAAAACAGAGACTATTACAACACACTCCAATGAAGGCCAGAAAACATAATGAAACTTAGAAAAACTTTGAAAACTTAAATTCACAATATTAAATAAAATAAAGTTATAAATTCTCTAGAAGAGAAAACTTATATAAACATACATTTGGAACTCAACTTAGATCATAAAGCATATACCTTCTGTTTTATTTTTATGAAGTAGCACCATGACCAGGCAACACTTGTAAAAGAAAGCATTTAATCGGGGCTTGCTTCAGTTTCAGAGGGTTAGTCCATTATCATTTCGGGGAACATGGCGGCAGGCAGGCAGACATGGCCCTGGAGCTGAGAGTTTTACATCCTGATCCACAAGCAACAGGGAGAGAAAGAGACACTGGGTCTGGTATGGGCTTTTGAAACCTCAAAGCCCACCCCCAGTGACACACTTCCTCTAACAAGGCCACACCCACTTCAACAAGGCCACACCTCCTAATCCTATTAAGCATTCAAATTAATGAGCCTGTAGGGAGCATTCTCATTCAAACTACCACACGTATTTTCCATTTTTTTTTAATGGAAAAATGTATTCTGAGTTCTGTATAACATATGAGAACCTATCTCACTGGTACGGAAAGGCTGTCTGGTATAGTTAAGCAACAAGTTTGTGTGTCGTTTACTAATTGTTTCATGTGTTTGCATGTCTTATATAACTTACAGGTTACTTAAGGGGATGGGCAATTATCCTTTTATATAAATCACATAATATCTAGCACAGTGTTCTAGACATAAAAGACATTTATGCAGCTTCTAGATACTCCTCAGAGTGTTTCACGCACCAAGTCTGTGGAAAGAAAAGAGTTAAAGTGAGCTTTGGTGGAATGGTGGAGTGCATCTGGAATCCCAGTACTGATGCTGAGACAGGAGGATCTGAAGTTTGAAGTCAGTTTGGGCTACATAGCAAGCTCTTGTCTTAAAAAAAAAAAAAGAGAGCACACACAACACATGCTTTCTAAAATATCATACTCTAGTTGATTATTAAAGCAGGAAGAGTAAGGTCATGCCCTCCCTGTACAGAGATGGTCAAAGATGCCCACCTGACATAGAGGGAAATGGGTACCATGGTGTTGAGCACTATGAAGTAGGACCAGAAAGCGAGGGAAGAACTCGTAGCTGATGAAGTAATATAGTGTTCCCATGGGAGAAATGCTTGGAAGTGGTAGCCTCTGTTGTTCTCCCAAATGCCATGTCCGATCGCCAGCAGAAAACACATTCCGCCTAAAAGCAAGAAAATCTGTGTAGAAAACAAACAGAACAGCAAATCTGAATACACGTCTTCATCTGTCCTCTGCAGTCTTAGCTCTCCTAGGTGTTCCCATGGAGATGGGGGGGGGGCACTAGAGTGGCACACAGGGCGCAGACAGGCCAGCAGGAGCCTCTGTGAGAATCAAAGGGAGGTATGAATAACCAGAACACACCAAGTACCAATTAATAGGAACCGTGCCAAGTGCTTTACATGTTGTTTAATATTGACGGAAACTTCTGACAGATGAAAATCTTCATACGCAGAGTGGGACCATGTTCTACCTCAAGTCACTTAGATACTGGATAGGAGAAGGAGGTTCCAAAACAGTCAGAGTCCAAGTTCCTAATCAGTGCAGCACTGTGGGGGAGGGGGAGGGCTGCCACTAACACACTGAGTTGTGTGGTTTTGGTACAGCTGGAGGAAGGATGGTGGGGAAACTGAGATCGAGGTAAGGAAGATGGCAGCTGGGTAACAGTTCCTCGTGTGGTGAGGGTGGAAAGGAGGCCACGGGCTCACTGAGGCCACAGTTCAAGGGCAGTGGCACCAAAGTCATGGTGTGCTGGGTGCTGAGTGTGGACTTCAATTCTTTCAGGTTTATACCAGGAATGGTTCAGCCATGCCTGGGGAGTGGGAATGTCACTTCTGGTTTTATTGCTTTCACGGTGGTTGTACTAATTTATATCCCTACCAATGGGGCATACGATTTCTTTTTTTCCTGTGTCCCTGCTATTTTCTGTTTTCACAATGATAGTCATTCTGACTGAAGAGAAATGAAATCCCAGTGTGGCCTCCTAAACTACTGATATAATTTGTCTTACACTTCTATGATGGTCAAAGAAATATAAAGGTACACAAAGGAGATCCTCCTGACTCCAAGCACATGCCATCACTGGTATTTTTTCACACCTCGTATTTATATGTGAGTTCTGGGGCTCAAAGTCAGGTCCATTTTCAAGGCAAGCAATCTCTATAGCCCCAGATGTAACCATCAAATAAAACTTACAATGACTAGTGACTGCTGACACGGATGCCTCCCCTCAACGGACCTTCACGCCTCAGAACTGGAATCATCTTACCTACTTTATAAGTCTCACAGTATCTGGCTCATACTGGATACACACTGTATTCTCAGTGTACTTGCCTTTTGGGGGAGACAAAACACTTGAAAGAAGTACCTTAAGGAAGGATTTATTCTGACAGTTTAGGGATGCAGTCTATCCTGGGTGGGGAAGGCCTGTGGTGAGTGGCTCCATGGTGGTGGAACCATGTTAGGTTACTCACACTGTGGCAGGCTAGGAAGCTGAGGCTGGAGCCAGAAGTGGAGCTGGGTTAGAACCCTCGAGGCTGTCCCATAGGGAGTCACGTCCTCCAAGCAGAGCCAACTGGCAAAGTTGCCACAATGTCCCCAAAGTCAGCAGCAGGGCACAAGGTGCTCGGATACATGAGCCTTCAGGGGACAGTTTACATACAAACCATAGCATGCAGTAACACGATCTGATGAGTCAGAGACTTGCCATGGTCATTATTTCTTCTGTGGAATTTTATAATATTTACCAGTATTTTGTTTCAATTAATCTATTTCTTGATTTTTGTTGTTGTTTATAGGTATAACAGACCTATAATTAACAATGTGAAAATTTTTACTCTGAAAGTTAAAAATCCCACTACAGATATCAGGTATCAACTGCTTTTCCTCTTCAGACAGACACACAAACTGTTCAACGAGTCTAGGCTGACAGGAGACATCCTGTTTTGAAGATGACCTTTGACGAAGCGAGCTAGCTTACTGGGTCATGTGACCTGCTCCTGCTGCTGTTGGAAGCCTCTGCTTGCATCACTTTCCTTAATTGCTGATGGTGATAATCTGTTTTCTGTTTGTTTGTTTGTTTTTAAAATGAGGATATGGAACTCTGCTTACTGGGAAGGCTCGGCACTAAGCAGTGGAAAACGAGCTAGTGGATGCCTGTGGCTGCTCTTAGGGCTCAACGGCCTTCCTAGTAGTTCAGTCTATTATATGAACTCTATCTACAAAGGACTTGGAAAAGGAACTGCAATTTAAAAACTTTTCTAATTTCCACTTTTGTGCGGTGCTGGCAATCCCAGCCTTGAAAATTCTGTGTAAGTACCGTACCAACTGAGCTCTAGCTCAGCCCTAAAGATACTTCTCATAAGAAAAGAGAAAAGACAGTTTATAACTTAGACATTGATGAGAGGTACATTGAAAGAAAAGACATTTAAAGAAGTTCTCAGATTCTAACACTAGGACATGAAAAGGTAAGGAATTAAGTGTAGGTATTACCAGAACGGCTCAGTTAGGCACAGAAGTTATTTGAATAATGAAGTTAATTTCCATCCAACAAGAACAAAAGTAATCTGGGTTGGCCAGAATGGACATAAATTATCATGTCTTCAATTTAAGCTTCTATTATCAAGGTGATCACTATAGATTATAGTGCTTTTTAGATTTAGATTTTCTCTATTTCATGATATAAAAACTTTAACACAGGCCGGGCGGCGGTGGAGCACGCCTTTGATCCCAGCACTTGGGAGGCAGAGGCAGGCGGATTTCTGAGTTCGAGGTTAGCCTGGTCTACAGAGTGAGTTCCAGGACAGCCAGGACTGTACAGAGAAACCCTGTCTCGAAAAAAACCAAAAAAACCCAAACAAACAAACAAACAAAAAAAAAACCCTTTAACACAAAAAGTAAGACACTTCACTGTGGCATGTCCATACATGTGCATCATTACTCCTTGTTCTAACCTGTCTCCTCGCTCACACTTCCGCCCCATCTTCCCTGCCCTTCCCTGCCTGCTTCCCTTCCTTCCTCATAGACAGTTCCTCTTGTAACCTTCGCATCACGTGAAATCATATCATCTTCTCTTTTTTTCTCTCTTTTATACATATTTTGAAAAAATTAATTTATTTTTATTTATTTGAGTACACTGTAGCTGTCTTCAGACACACCAGAAGAGTTGTGAACTACCATGTAGCTGCTGGGAATTGAACTCAGGACCTCTAGAAGAGCAGTCAGTGCTTTTAACAGCTGAGCCATCTCTCCAGCCCTCTCTCCCTCTCACGTGCATGCAATCATGACCTGGTTAAATATATAATGTGTTTGAGGTTGTACGTTGCAATCCCACCAACAATGGAGGAGTGTTCCTCTTTCTCCACATCCTCGACAGCATCTGCTACCACCTGAGTGTTTGATCTTGGCCATTCTGACTGGTGTGAGGTGGAATCTAAAGGGAAATCAGTTTGGCAGTTCCTCAGAAAATTGGACATAGCATTACCTGAGGATCCAGCTATACCATTCCTGGACATATACCCAAAAGATGCTCCAACATATAACAAGGACACATGCTCCACTATGTTCATAGCAGCCTTATCTATAATAGCCAGAAGCTGGAAAGAACCCAGATGTCCTTCAACAGAGGAATGGATACAGAAAATGTGATACATTTACATAATGGAGTACTACTCAGCTATTAAAAACAATGACTTCATAAAATTCCCAGGCAAATGGATGGAACTAAAAAATATCATCCTGAGTGAGGTAACCCAATCACAAAAGAACACTCATGGTATACACTCACTGACAATTGGATATTAGCCCAAAAGCTCTCAATATCCAAGATACAACTCACAGACCACATGAAACTCATGAACAAGGAAGACCAAAGTGTGAGTGCTTTGGCCCTTCTTAGAAGGGGTAACAAAATACTCATGGGAGCATATATGGAGACAAAGCATGGGGCAGAAACTGAAGGAGGGGCTGTCCAGAGACTGTTCCACTTGGGTATCCATCCCTTGTGCAGTTACCAAAGGTAGACGCTGATATGGATGCCAGGAAGTGAATGCTGACAGGAGCCTGATATAGCTGTCTTCTTAGAGGTCTGCCAGAGCCTGAAATATACAGAGGTGGATGCTCACAGCTAACCATTGAGCTGATCATAGAGTTCCGAATGGAGGAGTAAGAGAAAAGACTGAAGAAGCTGACAGGGTTTGCAGCCCCACAGGGACAGCAACAATACCAACCAACCAGAGTTCCCAGGGTCTAAACCACTAGCCTTGGAGCACATTAGGAGAGACCCATGGCCCCAGCTGTGCACGTAGGGGAGGATGACATTGTCAGGCATGGGTGGGTGAGGAAGTCCTTGGCCCAGTGAAGGCTGAATGCCCCAGTGTGGGGGAAATCATGGATGAGGAGGTGGGAGTGGGAGGGTGGTTGGGGGCATATCCTCATATAAGCAGGAGGAAGGGGGATGGGATAGCCGGAAATGTAAATAAAATATCCAATAAAAAATTTAAAAAAAAGGAAAAAAAAAGCTAAATAAATAAATAAATATTTAAAAAAAGATAATATTAATAAAAAAAGATATTGTTTCCAGGGCTGAAGAGATGTATCAGTTGCTAAGAGAACTCGATGCTCCCCTAGAGGACCCAGGTTCCATCCCAACATCCATATAATGGCTTACGATCATCCATTACTCCCATTCCAGGAAATCTGATGCTGTCTTCTGAGCTCCAAGGGCACCAGGCATGCATGTACACATGCATGTGCACATACATGTGGGCAAACATGCATATACATAAAATTAAAAGAAAATCTAAAGAAGAAAAAGTTAGAAAAAAAAGAGAGAGAGATTCCACCAGGAAACTCCTAGAGCTGATAAACACTTTCAGCAAAGTAGCAGAATATAAAATTAACACATAAAATCAATAGCTTTCCTACATATAAATGACAAACATATTGAGAAATCAGGGAACTAGTACCTTTTACAATAGCCTCAAAAACTACCTTGGGATATCTAAGCAAGAAAGTGAAAAACTTGTGTAATTAAAACTTTTAAGACACTGATGATATCAAAAGATGGAAAGATCTCCCATGCTGATAAATTGGTAGGGTTTATGGAAACCTAGAGCAGTGGGAACTTCCTGGAATCTATGAGAGTGACTCTTGTAGTCAGGCCAGATTTCAGTGGTGGGAC